AAGCATGAGTGTGTAAGTATGTGAGTGAGAATGTGTGAATGTGTGAGAGTGTGTGTGTGTGTGAGTGTACGTGTGTGTGAGTTCTGTGGAACAATCCTTCTGTACACTCTGTGAATATATGTTGCTATGATTGGTTTAATAAGTAAGCTGACTGTCCAATAGCTGAACAGGATACAGTTGGGTGGGAAAGCCAAACTGATGGGACGAGGAAGGGAAGAATCTGGAGTCACCAGTCAGATGCAGAGGGAACAGGAGATGAGTGTGCCATGCTAATAAAGATACTGCCACATGAATAACGAATATGGGTTAACTTAAAATGTAAAAGCTAGTTAGTAGTGAGCCTGAGCTATTGGTTGAGCATTTATAATTAATACAAGCCTCAGTGTGTTTATCTGAGAGAGGCTACAGGACAGGAAAACTCTGCCTACAGTATGTGTATGTGAGTGTGTGTGTCTGTGTATGCGAGTATGTGTTCGAGAATGTGAAAGTGTGTGCTGCTAGTTATTTTGCGAGTGTATAGGCACTTGCGTGTGGTGGCCTGAAGTTGGTGTTAATAATCACACTTATTCTTTGAGTCAGGCTCTGTCAATCAAGCCCCAAACTGGCTGATATGGCTAGTTTTCCTAGGGAGCTTGCTCTTGGGGTTCCTTGTTTCTGTCTTCCAAGGCTGCCATACCTACATAATCTAAGCTCACGCTTTCCTATCAAGCTCTGGGCCATCTCCCCAGCCTTCAACTCACTCAATCCCAACAGTTGCCCCCGACCCGGTGAGTTAGGCACTTTCTCCCACTTTGCAAATGAGAAACGCTATGGTCTAGGAACTGAAACGACCCCCAAAGGCTCACGCACGGAAGACTTGGCTCTCCATGAAGCAGTGTGCAGTGACAGGGATTTTGGGAAGTGACTACTCCATTGCATATTCACAATCCAACACGCTACACGGATGCGATAGGAACTTAGGAGGGAGATGGATTTCAAGGGAGCGGCTCCTTGGAGCCAGCTGTGCCCCTGGAGACTGTATCTCGACTTCAATCCTTTGAAGTCCTTCTCTCCTTTCCCAGGCCTATCCATAAAGTTAGCTCACATCGCCCAGTGCCTCGCTGGGGGCTGGGATGGGGTGCTTGCTCACATTTAGGAGACCCCAAGTTCAGCTGCATGATCATCTAGCAGTTCCGTCTCCCTGAAAAGTCACTTATAGGATTAAGACTCTTAGATTTTTGTTATCATGACTCAGTTTCCATGCATGTCTCCTACCTATAACTAGCACTAGTAAGTACCGGCTAAAATAAAACTAACATTTTGCTATACGCATTGTTCAGATCTTCCGAATCCCTTAGCGACGTTCACTACTCCTTTTCATTGTTCTGTTGCTTGCGGACTTCACCGGTGACTTCTTGAGGGCCTGACCAAATCTCAAAGCCATTGCATTTAATGTGCTCTTGTTTAAGTAATGTAGATGTTTTGGATGATACGCCAGGTACACTCTGCTAGTTTCCTTCCCAATATCTACTTTCTCCTCCCTTAGAAGCAGAGATCGTATTTGCTGGTCAGAACACGGTACCCAGATGTAAAGACTACAGTTCCCAATCCTCTCTGTAGATAGGTATGAGTATGTCCCCCAGCCGGCCAGTGAGATGCAAGCGCGTGTGTGAGCTTATGACAGAGGACTCCTGGGTGGGAGCTACTGAGCTGGGAGGCCTCCCTCTACCCCTCCTCTCCTCCTGCTACATCAGCCCTGGACTGTGAAGTGACCTGCAGACAGGGAGCTAGGAATTAGGCTGAGGGGCGGGCATGCAGATGGAAGGAAGCTGTGTCTCTGGTGATGACATATCCACCAAAAATCGGGGCAATGCCTAACATCTCCGATGCATAGGTCATGATGACTAACAGTTTTCATGGACTTGAGGTGATTTTACAGAAATTACCAACTATTCACTTGGATTGGTGCAGATGTCTGGTAGGGACCCTTTGCGGTAAGAAGGCAAAACCCCACCCTCAGTTCATGCTGGCAGTGCCACCCTGAACACGCATCTTTGAAGAGCTGTGACGATGAATGAAAGGGTCCCCTCACCTCCGATTATCTTTCCCCGCGCCCTAGCGCACTGGCATCTGTAGCCGATAAATAGTCTCAAACCCTGGACCTGGGGAGGTGATTTGGGTCCCTGCATCTTTTCTTGGCCCTGTTGCCAATCAACTTTTTGTCTTTTGCAAACACTGATTTCAGCAATTTAGTAAAGTTTGAAGAGGGTAGCGTAGTATGCATGTTTGGATAGCAAGTGAAGTACCACCTCCCTCTTTTTGAGACAGGGTCTCACCAGACTTTGACTTAGAACAAAGACCCCTGCCTCAGTCTCCTGAGTGCTGCTATTAGAGGACTGTGCCGCTGTCAGTGTGTTAACCCCTATGCTGTTGAACCAGCAACCAACCAACCGTGACTTTGGATTTCTGTTATAGGTAGCTAAAACCAACCCTTATATTACTGAACTCAGTCACTTACATTAAACAGACAGAAAAGGACAAGAGCTCCAAGTTTTCAAAGGGCTCCCTAGAGGAAGCATTATTAGCTTGCCAGGTCAAAACTAACTCCAAAAGGAAGACTAGACAATAGCTTCAGTGGCCACCAAATTGTCAAAGAGAACAGTGTGTTCTCTTGTTACCCACGTCAACATTCATGCAACCAGCCAAAGATTTCAGTGCTCTGTGGAGTAAGTAAAATCTTAAGGGGTTCATCTCAGATATCAGCAAATAGCCTTCATGTGGACATCCATAGTTATCCTGTGTTGAGACACATATATGCATATTTACATACATGAGAAGAGCCACATTCTTCTTTGAAAGCTTCACACATCAAGCATGTGTCAATGATGGAGGAGTGCCCAGCATGCTGGGGCTGGAGTGGTGTCTTAGTTAGGGTTTCATGACTGTGAAGAGACACCATGACCTCAGCAACTCTATAAAAGAAGACATTTAGCTGGGGCTGGCTTACAGTTCAGAGCTTCAGTCCATCATTGTCAGGGTGGGACATGGCAGCATGCAGGCAGACATGGTGCTGGAGAAGGAGCTGAGTTCTACAACTGGATCCCAAGGCAGCGGGAAGAGAGAGTAACACTGGGTCTGGCTTGAGAATCTGAAACCTCAGAGCCCACCCCCGGGAACACACTTCCTCCAACAAGGCCACACCTCCTAACGGTGCTATTGGCTGATGACCAGTCATTCAAACACATGAGCCATTCCTACTGAAACCACTACAAAGATGGCTCAGTTGGTATACCCCAGGTCAGTGAGAGAATCTGCCTCAAACAGGTGGATGGTGTTCCCAAGGGTGACATCCAAAACTGCCCCTTGACCACCTCAAGTTAAAAAATAGTAGGAAAAATTCCACATTCAAACATGACCCTTCCATACTTAAAAAAACAAAACAAAACAACAACAACAACAAAAAACCTTAGTTTTTCTTTTTTTCATACTTAGACTGAAATATGGGTTAAATAAATATATTCTTCTCCCTTAGCCTACTCTAAGGAAAAAACATACCTGAAGTATATTGATAGAGAATAGTGATGCAAATAATTCTGAATTATACTGGAAACAGTGGTGTCCCAGGGTACCTTAATTATTCAGAGGTAATCAGTTATTGTCACATGAGAATGCTGGCTGCCATTTCTCAAGAGAAATCTAGCATCTTTCTTTAGATTTGTAAATACAATGTCATGTTTTAAGTATTGGCAATTGGTTCATCTAAAAGCAAACCAAGTGAGCAAAGTTGTTTCACAGCCTCAGAGGGGTTGACAACCCCATATATATATATTACTTTAGAAAAGTGGTATATATATGTAGAAAATAAGAGCTGGGCGAGATGGCATAAACTTATAACCCAGCATGTGAGGGGCAGAGGCAGAAAATTAGGAGTGAAGGTTATCTTTAGCTACATAGTAAGTTCAGTGCTAACCCTGTCAAAAAGCAAACAGCAAAATGAATTGTTTAGCATGGTGTGATGCTTTATTTATAATGAGCATAGTAATGATATAAATATATTAATATCTTTTAATATATGATATTAATATGAATATAAAATGTCAGGCTTTTAAAAATTACTCTTTTGAGAAAGGGCCTCACTATGTAGGTTTGGATGGCCAGGAGTTATCTATCTACGTTGGCCAGGCTGGCCTTGATACACTCAGAGAGATCCACTCACATCTGCCTCCTAAGGGATTAAAGGTGTGAGAAAACATTTTAAGTTCTTTAGTATGGTAATTACTACAAGGGGTTCTGCACAGAGTTGATGTTTCTTTGTAGCAATGATGGTTTTTAAGGCTCAGGACAATTTGTTTGAGTTTGAGAGCAAACAGCAGTAGAGAAAATCTAAGACTCCTGCAAACAGGGACACAGAGAGGACAAAGGCGACCTCATGCTTATGCAGTAGACCACCTACACACAGTTCTTTAGAATGTGTTTGGGGGCATAAGCAGAAAGGCAAGAAGAGAAAAAAGAAAATCGAATGACATTGGTAGCTCCGGGCAAGGGACAAGGGGAGCAGGGCCCATGCAAGCCTTTGGTGTGTGGGGAGATACAAACCATACACGTGCAAATATGCAAATATGTCACCTTTCTACACAGGTTCAAATACGCTATTGCCATTTTCCGCACCAAAGCTGTTGGTGCGGTAGGTTGTGCACAAGAAAATTAGCATTGTGGGCGTAAAAGTGTCACACTACAGCAAATAACTTTTAGAGGAAATAGCAATACCCTCTCCCCGCCCCTTACACCCCAAGAATACTTTTACCTCAGCACACTCAGGGCGGAAAAGCTGAAAGTTTTCACTTCCCAGAAATCTTCAGACTTTTATTTTGTTCGGGAGGAAATAAAAACGTGTTGTGGTTGCATCTTATTGCCCTTGCCTGCAGGCTACTGGCCTGGCAGTTCCTAGCTTAACTCTACGAGAGACACGCCCTGTATGAGGGAGGCCTTTGGGAAGGAGAAGGAGACAGGAAGGCCGTTACCTGGTGAGGAGTTATGTAGATGAGGAAGATGAAGTGGCCCAGAGGGCTCCTGGTGACCAGGCTGGCCAGCAAATAGCTTGTCTAGCAACTTATCAGAAGAAGACACGGTCCAAGCCTTGCAGGAGAACACGGGGTTAGTGTCACCCTTCCAGGGATGATCTAGTGACACCTGGCAGCCAGCCACATTATTTAATAAGTCCTGCTCGCTCCGACTCTTCTGAGAACGTGGGGCAGTGTGCTGAGGACCAGAACTCAGGCCTACATGGGAAGTAGCTCCATGGGAGCCTGTCAGGAAGTGATTGCCCAGGGTGATGGGCGGGAGACTCTGTGTTCTGATTGGTGGAAGCCCCTTCCGGGCCAGAGGTTTCCTTTCTGGCAAGAGATACTTTGAATTCTCTGAGGTCCTCTTCTTAAAGACAACCATAGCCACCTGGCCACCAGGCTGATCTTGGCAGTTGGTATCCACGACGCTGTCAAAGGTGGCGATGATGTCATTGACTTCCGAGGTGTCGCCCTCCTTGTATCTGCCCCTGGTGTGGTCTTTCTGGTGGGCTGTCTGCTCTTCTTTCTTGTTCTTGCAGAAGATTTGGTTGAGCACACTGAATCGTCCTTCCTTCTTCTGGGGTCGGCTGTTCTGGGAAGGGAGAGGCTGAGAAGGTTCTGCTCTAGAGCAACAGAAAAGAACAAGAATGCCATGACAGGAAACGAGAAAGAACAAGATACTGACACCCCAAACCCCCTTTTATGTCATCTGCTTGGTCAGCTTGTCTGGGCTCATCCCCAGATGCCTGCAGTCTTCAAGTCAAGGCCTTGCTCAAGAACCCCACCTTCTGCCGGACGGTGGCGGTGCACGCCTTTAATCCCAGCACTCGGGAGGCAGAGGCAGGCAGATCTCTGTGAGTTCCAGGTCAGCCTGGTCTACAGAGTGAGTTCCAGGACAGGCTCCAAAGCTACACAGAGAAACCCTGTCTCGGAAAACCAAAATAGAACCCTACCTTCAATTAACTCCTTGTAGAGACGTACTCAACACCTCTCTCTATCCCTGAGACAGGGACTCTCTGTATAATGTAGCCTCAAGCCCGTAATCTTTTTACTTCAGCCTCCTGAGTGCTGTGCTTATAAGCATATGCTACCCATGTCTCTCGACTCCTCATGGGTTAGTTCCTGTTTCTTTGTTGTTCTTTGACAGTATTGTACATGTATGTAACGTAATACTATACATGCATGTAGAAATTTTGGTCATTTCACCCCAGACCCCCTCTCCCTCTCCCACTGAAACCTCTCCTTTCTGGCATTCCCACTGCTGTTAATTAATGTTTCTTGCATGAGTGTGGGAGAGATTTGACTGGCTCATATAAGCACCTTATCATCGTTATAGCATGGTAAGAAAATGACTTCTTAGCCTGGTGGTGCACACCTTTAATCCCAGCACCCAGGAGGCAGACAGCAGATCGCAGTGAGTTCCAGGCAATAATTCCTTAGGGAGGACCACTCCCCATCCGTGATGAAATGTAGGGGTCTTATGCAGATAGCCCAGCAGAGTGGGTTCGTGAGTGCGATGGGTGAGTCACGTCCAGGAGACGTCGGTTTGCTGCACATCTTTCCAAGCGCCGGCTCCTTTGTCCCCTGTCTTTGTGACGTTCCCTGAGCCTTGGCCTGCGTGACACAACCGTCCTATGTGGGACCCCGTACCCCACTATTGTTTATTTTTGGCTCTTTGGCCACTTTATGGGTTTCTGCATTAACTTCCACGGGGGCTATTTTCTCTCTTCCTCTCTTTCCTCCCCGCCCCTCCTTCCTCTTCTCCCTACGTGTGGAGATCAGAGGTTGTTGTTTGTGTCTTCCTCTGTGTCTGTCAACCTTGCTTGTTTATTAGTCTTTGACATTATTTATCATTGTTGAGCATGTGAATGACAGTTCTCTGAAAAAGGCTGCAACCCCCCCCCACTGACCCTTCTGTAATGAACTGATTAAATCGTCAGTGACTGGGGAGGGTTTGGAATGTTACAATTCAGAGCCGACTACATCCGGCCATTTTCAGCCCTCTCCATAGCCGATAGCCATTCATTGCCCTCCTCTGACCATTAGGTAAATCCTTTGGAATGAACAAACTGAAGCCTCGCTCCCATCAACCAAAAGGCTAAGAATGTCAGAAATTCCCCTGCTCTGTTCTAACCTGCCTACCAAATGTTTCCAGCAATGTATCTGCAAGGTGCCTTGATGCACAATGTCTTTGTTCTGTTTCTGTAAGAACCTTACCTTGGAACGTGGACATGAGGTGACCTAAACCTATGTTCCTAGGCCACTGGCCACTCATACTTGGCTCGGGAACAAACCATCTCAGGGTTCCTTCTGAGGGGAGAGTTGTGTGTCTGTGTTGACATAGCATGGTGTACATACAGGTGCTTGTACAGAGGGCATGTCTGTGGAGGGCAGAGGGCAGCCCTGTGAATCTGGTTCTCTCCTTTGAACTCTGTGTGGGCTCCGAGGATAGAACTCAGGCATAAACTTGCACGGCAAGCCTCTTTACCTGCTGAACCACGTCTCTGAACCAACATCATTATATGTTCATTACTTGAGACCGGGCCTCTCACTGAATCTGTGGCTCCCAGACTGACTGGCCGCCAAGCCACAAGCACCCTTGTCTCCATTTCCCCAGTGCTGGGGTTACAGCTGCAGCCTCCTATGCCTGTCTTTTACGTGGTGCTGAGGGTCAAAGTCAGACCCTCGTGCCGGCTGAGTCATCCCCTTGACCTCCAGAGGGTATAGCCTTTCAATGACCGCACAGCGGTGTTTTCAATTGTCAGCTGAGTAAGCTGAAAACACCTTCAAGTGTCCCCACTCTCTCAGGGACAGTGCACAGTGACATCGGCCTTAGAGGCGAAGAGTAAGGCGTCTGCTCTGAGTGAAAGACCCCAGGGGATCCAGCAGCTCTGACGTCATGCACCCAGCATCTTGCCCGTTTTATGCCGTTTGTTCTTTGTTTCACATCTAAAAAAAAAATACCCTCTAAATATGGCTGTGAAAAATGCTCTACTAAAGGAAACAGGCAGCGAAGACTTAGTTCCAGCGGAAGAGGAAGCCGTGTGTGCCAGAGGTTGGGCGTGGCAGATGTGAGCAATGCTCAACTCACAAGCAAACTCAAAGGGAAAAATGTTTGTGGCAGCTGTTTGGCAGGCTTGCTCAAGCCGAGTTTCCCTGAGGTGTTGTTCTGTTCCAGTTCTCTGGGAACTCCGTGCTGTCTCTTTTGAAGCCACAGTCAAGTCGAAGCTTTCTGCGTTAGGGGTCAGCCATGAAACTGGACCCGTGGACAGGCTGTCAAGGGGGGGGGGGCGCACGACTACTCTTCGGACAATGCATGTTCTCTCACTGTGGATCTTTGCTCGCGCATACCTCCATTTGTATCTTTTAATTACTAATACATTTTTGTCTCCCTTTCAACATGACGATCACACAATCAATGAATGACTGCCCAGAATGAGGACTACTCAAGTTACCCAGGTAGCCATGTCGAATAATGTGTGAATGATGAGACAAAACATTCTAGAAATACTTAATGGGCCTGGACAAGAAATCCAGGCTTTCAAGCGTGTATATCTTAGAGGTGGTATTATAAAAGCAACTGAGGGAAAAAGAGAAAAGCTGACTATGAATTTTGTATTTATTGTCTTCACATTTTTTTTCGTGATACTTTCTGAACTGATGGAGTGACATTTCGTTGCTTCTGGATTTATAAGTGAAACAGTCTCTAGTGTTTTTTTAAACACACTCCCTAGTTTTCTTGGTTTGAAATGCAATGGGTGGGAACAGTTTCATGGATTTTAAGCACGCTGTTGATCAGATGCTTCATTGATGCAGCTGTCAATCACCTTTATCTGTCTCACTCAGCAACGGGTGTCACACCTAGCGACTGGCACGCTCTGTTTGGAGGGACAGTGCTTAAACTAAATTTTGGTCTTGGACCCAGTAGATCTGATGACCTTTTGTTGCCTTGAGGTTTGATAGCCCCCAGCTCCAACCCCAGGAGAATTAAGAACTCTGATGTGGAAAGCTTGCATGGATTTGCACAGAACGGAGCCCAGAGGGACACAAAACCTGTAGATTGACTGGTAATCAGCCCCAGTGTGATGAGAGAAGGGAAAATCTTGGTGCCAGTAATTTCTCTCTTCACTGGTGTTGGGCTTTGACCATATGAAATTTCTGTACCACAGTGCAAAATTCAATCAAAGTGGACTTAATTGTCTAGTAGTGAGAGAGAGAGAGAGAGAGAGAGAGAGAGAGAGAGAGAGAGAGAGAGAGAGATTTGCCAAGAATGGAAAACAGTGCTGCTCTTATTAATTTTTCTTGTTTTGGAAAATAGGTGCATTAAATGAAGTCAAGTTATTTATTTACCCATTTATCAACAGTGTCTCCTTATACAGACAGCCCTAACTAGCCTCAAACTCATGACCCTTCCCACTTCAGCTTCCCAGGATTATAGGTACAGTACTGTTTGACTTAAAATATGTTTTTTATTCTAACATGTAGCAATCACAAACTTATTAATACTTAAATAACAAATCAAATATTTTATTAAAATTTTCTTAATTAAATGTTTTGACACCGTAATAGTGATGGGTGTAACAGATTTTAAAAAGCCCTCTGGCATCTTCAGTAAGTTTTGAGTGTATAAGGGTCTCGAGAAAAAATGTCCTGGGCAGAGGAAGGGGGAAGGAAAGAGGGCATTCACGTCCTAAGACCCATATTTGACGGGTTCAAGCTTGTTCCTATTACTGTGTCCCACATAATGGAGGTCGTTTCACCGTGTGTCAGATGACAGCAAACACACATAGTTAATTGGGTAATTAATACTGTAACTTATATTATGAAATACTGATATTATTAAATTACTGTGGCCACTAGATGGATCAGTGGATAAAAATGCCTGTCACCAAGCCTGATGACCTGCGTTCCAGCCTGGACCTCACATCACGGAAGAAGAGACGTTTCTGAAAAGTGCTCTCTGATCTCCAAATGTACACACACACACACACACACACACACACACACCCCAGAGGCAATGTTGTTGTTGCTGGGTTTACATACTGGTGGTTTAGAGAAACGTTAATGTTATAAATCTTTGAGAGGAAGACACTAGATAAACTCACCGGCCTTCTTGGGAGAGGAGCCTAACACAGGCTGTGTGACCACAGTACAGGGCGTAGGCCAGGGGCGTGCTCTCGTTAATGTCCCTCAGGTTGCTGTCCATGCCCAGCTCCAGCAATGACTGGACACACTCTGCTTTGCCGGCAGCCGCAGCCCAGTGCAGGGGTGTCCTGGAGGAGTCACAGAAGAAACACAAGGGCCCAATCAGAACCTTACAGGCTGTTTAGCCGTGGTCGGCTTCCACCCAGAGTCAGGCTGAAGGCGGACGATCCCATTGCTGTCCATAGTATGGAATGGTGTGCCTGGCCCTGCGTAAGAGTCTAGGGCGAGTACCAGAGGCTTCCTCCACCTTGTGCTTTCTCCCTGGTTCCCCATCTCTGCTCTTCCTGAGAATCCCCTAAGCACGAGAGGCTTTAAGTCTCTTTATATACGGTGCCGACTGCCTTCACTTTACCCTCATACTCCTCTTGAACACCCAGTCCACCACCATCTTTAGAATCTTTTGTCAATTTGGGTGGCAAATGATACTTTGTTGTTTTCCTATGTATTTCTTCATTTACGGATGAGGTTAAATTTGCCATTTGTATTTCTTCCTTGAAATCACGTTTGTTCTGCTTTCTTAAAAAGGCAGATTCTCACTGTATAGAATGCATTAGCCTTGAATAGGCAACTCTTTCTGCTTCAGCCTCCCAAATGTGGGGATTACAGGCACTTGCCACTCTGCCGGCTTCTATCTATTGCTACTTTCTATTATAACATTAATGTTCTTCTTACTAATCTGAATGGGCTCTTTGCATACTAAAGATATCGATCATTTATAGGTCATCTATACAAACTTCAAAAATATTGTTATTTAACCTTTAAATTTTTGGTGATTTTTTTTCTATAAAAAATGGAAAGCATTCACATTCAATTGCATTTTGTCTTATCTCTTTATTGTTCACAAAGTCCTTACTTAACCAGGAGAGATATTCACCAATATCTAACCATTTGTTAAAATGTAAAACTAGTGTTTTCTTAATAAAGACCAGTCAGGAAGCAGGAGAAAATATTTGCAAACCACGTGTTCAACAAAAAGGCTTATAATTAGAATGCATAACATTTTTTCAGTACTGAACAAGAAAACAAACTCACTTGAAGAATAGCAGAGGATCAGGATAGAAATTTTGTCAAAAAAAGATAGATGAGGTGCCCCGGGCTCAAAAACACTTGCCAAGCCAGTGTGGTGGCATACACCTGAAGTCCTAGTACCCAGGAGATTCCAGGCCAACCTGCCCTACAGAGTGATGCCCTGTCTCAACAATGAAATTGTCATTAGGGAAATGCAAGATAAAATGGCAAGGATTGCCCACATGCCTGTAAAAATGATTAAAACGAGGCAAAGGCCAACAAAGCTTGACAAAGCAAAAATGCAACCTGGAATTTGTCTACAATCTTAGTGGAAGATTTACGGGGTTAATTATATCTCAACTATGTGACCCAGAAATCTCACTTCTATGTATCTAGGTAGAGAAATGAAAAGCTTGCCCTCAAATGTTTATAGCAACTGGTGACAACTTCCCCAAATGGAAGCAAGCCACCATCCTTCCAGGGGTCAATGGGTAAACAAACCGTGGTTCCTCTTCTCTGTGTAAATGACTTAGTGACATAATGAACATGCAGGGTACCAGTGCAGGCCGGTAGAGATGAGCCGCAAGTGCGTTCTGCTAAGCGATGTGAGCCAATCGCAAAAGGTCCCACAGTGACCTTCCCTCTTCTAAAAATCTGAACTCTGAAGTGCTCTGAGCACTGACATGTTGGATGCCACCAAGGGAAAATTCTGCATCTGACCCTGTAGGACAAGTCAGGGCTTAAGTGCAAGCACACTCAAAGTGTTTGATAGGATTGCTTTTCCAGGCTGTGTGTTTAAACACACTTAGATTTGGCTTCATTTCAACATGTCTCATTTCATGTATGAAAGTCTTCCCATACCAACACCTCAGAAACCTGAAATGCTTCCCATCACAGCATCGCGTGGGTGTGTGTTTTTCTAATACACGGCACACTTTCTCAACACCATTCATCCATGTGACTAGAATCTTTTCTGCTTTTCTTCTGTCCTCTATTTAAAGGTATGGTTAACTTTGTACTTAATCTTAGAGGAGAGATGTGGCAGGGTGAATATGACAAATAGTGTTTTCCTGCTCCCAAAAGCCAGGCTCAGAACTGGGAGCAGATTGGAAGCGCATGCGGAAGAAGTTGTCCTTCCCAACCTTAGACAGCGAATTCTCCCTCAGATGTCAAGACAGACGTGACACAGGGTGGTAAAGGGCCAGCCTAGCATGTGCCAGGCACTGGATTTGAACCCCAGTACCATTAAAAAATTGAGGTTGATAAGGGCATAAGGGACTACGGGGCTAAACAATAGGCACCCGAGTTTAGCATCTTTGATAGAGCTTCTGGGAGGGCGGGGGCGGGGCCTGTCATGTCTAGTGATGTCTAGCCAATGGGACCCCCTGCAGCCCAAGATCACCTTCCTCCCAGGTACAGCCCAGGGTGAAGGCTCATCAGACCCAAAAGGACAAAGACAAGTGGCAAGAAGGCCATCTCCCACCTCGATTCTTACATACTCTGGGACTGTGAGAAATTCTGTAGTCAGCCAAAAGATGGTAAGAACGAGAAATTATAGGGCTGGTGTGAAAGCTCTGTGGTGGTGTGCTTGCCTAGCATACTGAAGGTTTAGGTTCAATTCTCGGTTTCTATACTGGGGGGAAAAGGATTAAATTATAGATAGTAAAAATGATTACGATTTCTAAAAATCTTGGTTGTGACAAAGCTTTGCTTTCCACTCTTTCCCTTGGGTATACTTTACACACAGGCAAGAAGGAAATGTTCTGAGAACATTTCACACAGTGTGTTGTACCTCCAGCACATACTGTGACTCCTAGCCTCCCTAGGATCTCAATCAAATGGTTACTGACAGGATGCCTTGATGATAATGCTGTCTTAATTATATCATGGACAAAACAGTTCTGGGTAACAGTGCACTGTGACTTTCCACAGCTCCATAGCGGAATTTGGACAGTTCATTTTGATGCGCCATTTCAGGGGGCCTTTAAGTATTCCGGTGTACATGGGAACTTTGTGTCTAAAGCGGAGCTTGAGGCAGTGGCTTGGGAGTGGGGTGGAGTGAGAGCATTGTATCTCTTCAGAGTGAGTGTACTCTGATTTGCTCAGCTACGTGCTGTCTTGTGCTCTTGCCTGTTTGGATGTTGTAGACTTGTAATTGCTTGGAAATGCCTATCAGATCAGAGGTGGTGAGTAGCCGTGGCCATTAGGCAGAGGTGATGAGTGACTGTGGACATTAGGCTTCTGGAAAATACTGAATAAAGGGACTAGACATTGAAGCTACTATAGTTTTAGTCAAGATCGGGAAGGGCATTTTTAGGATGATGAAATGGCACACTATCAGGTTCTATCCCCCTCCCCCCTCCGGCACTGGGATTAGGAAGGCAAAATGGTATCATTTCTATGGACGAGGTCTCCCTTATAGAGAATCACCAAGCTTCCTGTCCCCCTCAATGGGGCAGCAAGGAAGGGCACAGGATGCCAGATCTCTCCTGAGCTTTGCTCTAGGACCTGGGCTCTAGGCAGAAGGGCACACAGGAGAGAGCCACATAACCCCCAGGCCTGGGAGTGCCTGGACGTGGGCAGAGAAGGGTCTCGGGCCCAAGCACATAGAGAGGGTCTAGGCACACAGTGTGGCCTTTGTCCCACACTCAGACTGTGTTCTCTGTAACACTCCTCTCCACATTGTGACACTTTTGAGGGCAATGTCTCATCAACACAGCGATATCTCAGAGTGTGCGGTGGCCCGTGACCTACCACACCGTGTATCTGAAATGCTACAGCAGGTCATCCTCTCCATGTAGAGGGAAAAACTGCCAGTGAGTTCAGTTGATGGAGGCTTACCAACATGCAACAATTCACTTTGAAGGTTTGTGAAATAAACCCTGCCTTACACTTGCTGAGATCGACTGTTTTAATTCCCCCGGCCACGGGAGGGGTACAGAGACTAAGGGAACACGTTGACAACCTTTGATTTACATCCTGAGCGCCTCTCTGGCAAATTTGTGACACAGCTGCCACATTGTCTGAGCTGCAGTTTCTTTCCCATCTCAAGGCTGCAGCGTGATCCTGCAAGCCGGCCGCGGCCGTCGAGGAGTGGAAGGTCAGGGCCTGTGATTTGTGATTTAAGGCAATCCAACAGAGACCAGCACTGACATGGGCGGAGGGGGGGGGTTCCTGGGTGGTGAGGGTTGACAGCTGGAAGGACGCAGGGCCACAACAGCTGTCAGTTCCTAAGGGTTGCTCTGTGAGGCCTGTGAACATCTGGAGAATTTCCAGAAATGTGCAGAGAGGAGAATCTGATAAAAGGCTGTCCTCCCTGAAGGGAATGAGTTGTTTGTTGAAGTGAATTATGACCTCATAGACTGATAAAGTTGGGATATTTAAAACATACAGTACAGGCTGCTTCTGCCTTATTTGTGATTTGGCATTAATCTTAGGTGAGTACCTCCATATTTGTATCGCGTGACTTAGTTTTATCCCTGCGCTTATTTCTTATGTGTGGACGTGCCTCTGCATGGTTGCATACAATGACACTTATGTGGGGACCAGAGGATAACTTTGTGGGAATCTGTTCTCTCCTTCCATTACATATAGAAGTGCCTGTGCCTTTATCTCCTGAGCCATCCTCCTGGCCAAAAAAAAAAAAAAAGGGTGTGTGTTGCTGTGGCCCATGTTCACCTCTAACTTGTGCACCTCCTACCGCAGCCTTCTGGGGCCTGTGGTTCCAGGGTGTACCACCTTGCCTTCTTTCTGATGTATGCTAATAACGGGCAGACTAGTTCTCCAAATCCCTCCCCTTACCTGCATACCTCTCATTCCAATCGTATGATTCTCTTCCCACAAAACCTTTCTTTGGGGAAAATCTTTCACTAGAAAAGGGGGGGGGGAGGGAAGAGCAGGACAGAAGTCAAACAGATGTCTTTAAGCTTCTGAGGATTTTGAACAGTTCAACTATTAGCAGAAATTCATAGTTACTCGGAAAAGACAGTTTCATGTTTAGCATGAGAACACAAGATGCAGGCCCTGGAATGGCTTACCCAGTGCTTTGGTGTGTGTGTGCCTGTGTGTGTGCGTGTGTGTGTGTGTGCGTGCATGTGCGTGCGTGTATGTGTGCATGTGTGTGCGCACGCGTGTGCGTGTGTGCGTTGCGTGCGTGTGCGTACGCGTGCGTGTGTGCGTGTGCGTGTGCGCGTGTGTGTGCGTGTGTGTGTGTGCGTGTGCGTGTGATCACAGAACTGCACTTTCCTGCTCATCAGACCTAATCTTCTGTATTGATTGTCCTCTCTGGGTTCCCTTCCCTGAAGCTTAGGAAAATGGATTTTCTTGTTTTAACGTGTGGTTCTACAAAACGGGGAGCTTTTGAAGCAGGCAAACTTCCTTTCATCTCAGTGCTACAATGTGTTCAGATCTTCCACTCACGCCTGGTGTGACTAACTTCCCCTTTCATACCTTCTCAGGATCAACACCAGCTCTTAGAAAAAAGTAGCCTTCAGTTTCAATCAAAATCATCAGGTTATCCACCTCCAGCCCCTGAGACCCAGGCAGGACACAAGACCCCTGCACACACATACACACACACACACACACACACACACACACACACACACACACGCTAAAAGAACTTCAGATATGTGGGACTTCTAAGATTGTCATATGCTCAGGTCTCACTTTAACAGAAAATGGTGACTACATACTCAGTTTGTAATTCTTACACTTACTTTCAATAGTTTTGCTTACTGTTATATTTTTCCCTTGCATTTCCCCAGACTCAGTGACTAAACTAAACAAAGGCTAGTAAGCATGTCATTGTAGGTGAGCGGTGAGCATTACATTTACAAGACACAGGTGCAATCCTTCAGTCGATTAATAACAACGCCTGAGACAAATCATTTTTCCCGTTCTGCACCCAACTTCCTTTTCCAACCAATATGTCATCAGTGACTAAAAAAAAAAAAAAAGTCCTCTCGTCCTCTTATCTCACCATCCTGGATAAGAAATTGTGGGTGTTATGATATAACTCAGGAATGAAGAAGGAAATACAAACTTCGCTAAGAACCAAGGCCCATGTCAGCCTTCTGAGAACATTGCTGATATTCAGTTAAAAGTGGAAAATCTGACCATACCGTAGTCATGACCTCTGTTCACAACAATGATTTTTCCTTCTCTTACTAAAATAGACCCAGGCTTGATGTCACAGACACACCTATTACCAGCAATAAGGATATAGTCGGAAAGGATGGTGCCTCTAGTACCTTTGTTTTAAGATTAACATTAGGGGATGATGACTGGGAGTTCCCATCGCTTTCTGAGTTGCCATGGATACCTGTCATCCACATCCAGGGCCTGCAGGTTACACTCGGGGACTTTTGCCAGATCGCTGATAATGTCACCGAAACCGGAAGCTGCGGCGATGTGGACACACGTCTTCCCACTCTCATCGTCGTAGTTGATAATGGATGGGCCCTGGTGGTGACTCAGAATGATGGAGCACAGAATCCTGTTTCCACTCTGGAAAAAGAATCAGAGGGGCCCATCATGAGCAGCCCTGTGCATGTTCTTATCCACGCGTGGTGCGGGGGAGGTGCTTTAAAGACAGAGGGTGGCTAAAGGGAACAAAACAAACAGAAACAAAGAAGAAGGAGCCACAGCCCATCTGCTTAGTTAAATCAGCATGCCCTGTACTCACAGGCAGGGCCAGCCCCTTGGCTTCCCAGCGTGGGTACTTTGTCCTAAGTTCACACTCTAGAATTACATAAACTATCCCCATTCTTTTTCAAACAAATAAACAAAACCTCACAATGTTTTAAGTAAGTTCACAGTTCTGTGAAAGGTGAGGCAGGCTTGGAAGGGGGAAGAGTTAGAAAGGAGTGAACTTCATGATCATGTGGCTTTTTTCTATGATCTCTCTCTGTCTCTCTGTCTCTCCCTCTCAGAAGTTCAGATAACAGCTTAGCTTGGCGTTCGTGAGATGGAGCTTAAGTGTGGTGACTCCATTTTTACTTTTAGTTTGCTTTGTCGGGGCCAGTACAGAAATCTAATCCCAAACAATGGCTAACTCATATCCAATTTCTTCAACAAATTTCCATTTATCTCAATTTTCTGCCGGGAGTTTTGTCCCCGCTGGGGTTAATGTCCTCCACACCCACACCTAGTGGACTGATGACAGATTTGTTGACAAATGTCAACTGATGTCAGAGCTAGCCTGACGGATGGGTCACCTAGACAACAAATTACTCATTCGATCTGCTCATTTGACTTCCCATTTCACTGGACAAGGTGGCCATGAAGACACGTGCCCACCTAAATTCGATATTAACTCAGTGAGGAGGAGGGGCTGTGGGAAAGGCCTGCCCCTCGGTCTGGCATGGTGATTTTTAGTCACTGCTTGTGTTGGAGATTCAAACCACACCTCCAGTTACCCAAGGTCCATCCTGCAACAGGGCACAGGCTGAGCTCTTCCCTCCCACAGAACGAGGAAAGGCCCCTGCCAGAGAACAGGGCAGAGGCTGGGCAGGACTTGGGCTCCTGACACGGGAGTTTGGGGGTTGGAGTTGTGTGCGTGAAGGCTGGTGCTGCCTCAGCCGACTTCACTTAAAAACAGAATTTCAGTTTCGGTGCTGACCGCAGAACATTGCATTCCGCTGTCTCCGGGATCTTGGCCACGCAGCTGGAGGGTGGACCCTCTCTCTCTCTCTCTCTCTCTCTCTTATCTCTCATGTGTTTACTGCCTTCCTCTTCCCATCTAGCCTTTGCTCTACACGCCTTCGATATAACTCGACCGACTATTTAGTGTGCCATGCCTGCCTGTTGCAAGAAGCCTGCCGCCACGCTGAACGCATAGCTAGGGCTTCACAGTTTTTTCCTAGGGTCATTCAGTGCATGTCGAAGGGGTCTGCAGTAGAGCTGAAAGCAGTCAAGACTCGTTTTTCTTGGAAAGTACCAGCTGCTGGGGAAGGAAGGCAGAGAAGACCTGCCAGCTTGCTGGATTTGTTTTGTTTATAGTTTCCTGGAAGGGAAAAGGCATTTGGGTTGCCAAGGGGATTCAAAGGGCAAAACAGCTCTGTTCAGCTTCCCCTCTTTGTAGAAGAGGGAGCATTAAGGATAGATGGGAAAAACTAAAGGACACGCCTCACCCTGCTGCGCCTTCTCCTCGCCTGACCCTTGGGAGGATTCACGGAGGAATGGCTACAGCCTAGGACACCTGTGTGGGCCTCCTCTGAAATCTGACAACTTTCCCCATGTGTCTTGGAAGCTTGAATGCTGTAGGCCACCCCTCTGGATGAGGCTAGGCAAGACGAATGACCTCACTTTACACGTTTTCCAGCCTGCCTTTTGCTGTCATGGGTTTTCTAGATAATTCCTTTGCCTGCTCCTGGGTCTCACATGTAGCATTACCATTTGTAGTTTCCTTTTATTTGTAAGCATTCCTCAGTAATAATGATGATAGCTATCTGCACGAGGGAAGGCTTGCTTCTTAGTTCCTTCCTAAGCCACTCCTGACAATTACCCCCAGAGGTAGACGGAGAGGTCAGAGAACAGAGGCCAGGGGGCTAAGGAATTTGCTCTGGGTCACAGGTAGGAACCGGCTGAGCCGGGATAGACTCTGTGGAGTTTGTAGGCTTGGATCTTTGAGAAAAGGGCCCTGCATGTTCACACCGAGGAAGCTGGAGGGAAAGCCGCTGTTCAGACCCGGCACATAAGTAGTTATGAGGAGCCTTGCCCACTGAGGATGAGTTCATCCGTAGGCATTTGAAAAGCCTCTCCTAGGAAGGTCGCCATGGTGCCCTCCTGAGAATCCGAGGCACCCAGCGGCACTGATTTATAAGCCATAGACCAGGGATGATCATCTCTTGGTGACACACTGGACTCCCACAAGCACTCTGGATGCCATCGGCCAAAGGGAGGTGCAGACGGAGGCGGGAGGGGGCCAGGGAGGTCACTGAGGCCAAGAAGTAAGAGAGCACAGGTAGGGATGCCCAGACGGGACTACAGGAAGAGCAGTGGGAAAAGCTACTACACCAGGGGAATAACAAATCCACACGCAGCCTGTTCTTGTGCTCTTGGGTTCTGCACCGGGAAGCTAGATCCGAGACATGGGTTGTTTTGGTGTATTTCTTCCCTTTGCTTTTGCTGCTGGATAATCACCATCGTGTTGCCTTCATGGCCTCTAAGGACTGTTGTGTTCTAGTTGTTTTCTCTATATCCCTCACGAGCAGAGGGCACTGCAGAGGAGCTTGACTCAGAAGAAGGCTTGCCAAAGAGAAAGCGGAATTGAGAGACAATAATGTTGCTATGTGTAAAAAGCAGAGTAGCCCGGCTGTGGTCTCCTTATATTTTAGGTGCCTGAAGTGGTTTGGATGAGGATGGCCCGTATAGGCTCATATATTTGAATGGCTGGTCCCCGGTTGGTTGCTGAAGGAGACTTGCTTTGAGGTTTCAAAGGCCCAAGCCAGGTTAGGTCTACTTTCTCTCTCCTCTCTCTCTCTCTCTCTCTCTCTCTCTCTCTCTCTCTCTCTCTCTGTCTCTCTCTGTCTCTCTCTCCCTCTCTCCTCTCCTCTCCTGCCTGTGGATTAGGATATAAGCTCGTAGCCGCTCCTCCAGCACCATGTCTGCCTGCCCACTGCCACGCACCTGTCCACAATGATCATGGACTCTCTGAAACTGCAAGCAAGCCCCTACTTATGCGCTTCCTTTATAAGAGTTGCCTTGGCCATGGTGTATCATCACAGCAATGGGACAGTAACTAAGACAGTGTCCTCCGAAAGAGGTCCATTGGGAAGCTGTGGGACCAGCTGATTATCAGCATATGTCTGGGGAACTCTTCATTATCAACTTGACTGGGTTAGCATCATTGAATCGCCATGGAAACACGTCTCTGGGTGTGTGTGAAGATGCTCCCACAGAAGTTTAGGGGGATGGAAGACTTAACCCTGAACGCGAGCAGCACCATGCTGTGGGTGGAATCGCAGACTGTATATAAATATAGGAGGAGAGGAGCTGAGCACCGGCATCGGCATCCGTCTCTCTGCTACCTGACTGTGGCTGCCACGTGACCAGCGGCCTCCAGCTCCTGCCAGCACACTCCTTCCACTGTGTACTGCGCACCTATCCTTCTGCTGCCTTTGCCATAGCAACAAGCACAGTTATTAATGCAGAATAAGTTGTGTGGCGCCTTCCTTTTCCAGGGGAGTCTGTTATTCTTTCCGCCTTGAGTGAGGGGATGTCAACATCACTTGGCACGTACTCGTGAGTATACGAATCAGGCCACTGTGTTAGTGTCTGCGCTTTGGTCACGTCTCCTTAAAGGCCTGAGGGATTTATGATGCAGGGTAGCCAGACAAACCAGACCGGAATGCAGATAGTGAGTCCACAGAGTAAGCATTCAGGAATGGGCTGCAGGCTAACCAGCAGGAGGAAAGAACGCACATAATACCTCTGAACTATTAGGATCGGAGCTGTCCTCAGTTAGCCTTTCGCGGGCCAGAGTCCTAACTATTGCACTAAGACAGGAGAAGGAAAGCAAAGAAGATGGCTGCGAAGGGAGAGCGGCAATGACTTTTTGCATCTAACGTTGGTTTTCTATGTAGAATATTTGAAAAACAGATGAAGCTCAGAGCCCCGAAACTAAGAAACAATTGTAACAAGTTTTCAAAATAGAAGACACACATTTTAGAGAAGACAAAATTGTTTTTCTATGTACTGGCAATGCACAAATAGAATTTGAAGTTAGAAACTATTGTTTTGGATGTGGTTTGTCTCTGATAAAACCCATTGTGAAATTTAATTTCCAACCCAATGTCATTTGTTTGTGTTTGCTTGTGTGAGAGAGAAGGGGGGATAGACAGATAGATGATGGATAGACAGATGATAGGTAGACAGATAGATGATGGATAGATAGATGATGGATGATAGATGATGGATAGATGATAGATAGCTAGATGGTAGACAGATAGATAGATGATGGATGATAGATAAATAGACAGATAGATGATGGATAGATAGATGATAGATAGACAGATAGATGATGGGTAGATAGATGATGGATAGATAGATGATAGATAGATAGATGGTAGACAGATAGATGATGGATGATAGATGATAGATAGATGATAGACAGATAGATGATGGATAGATAGATGATAGATAGCTAGATGGTAGACAGATGATAGATAGATGATAGATAGATAGATGGTAGACAGATAGATAGATGATGGATGATAGATGAATAGACAGATAGATGATGGATAGTGGTATATAGATATGGATAGTGTATGCCTGTATTTGTGTACTGGTGCACAGCCGTATGTGTGGGAGCCAGAGGTTCATGTTGAGCATCTTTCCCTGTCACTCTCTACCTTGTTTGCTGACAGAGCCTGATGTTGAACACAGAGCTCACAGACTAGTTAGTTGGCAGGTGAGCTCCAGGTGTCCTCCCCAGCACGGGGATTACAGGTGTGTACCATCATGCCTGGCTTTTTATGTGGGTGCCAGGGATTCCAACTCAGGTCCCCAGGTTTGTACAGCAGTCATTTTGCCAATCCCCCAGCCTCCTCTGCCAAGTAATAGCACTGACCAATGGCCATTTAAGAGGTAATTACACCAGGGGTGTCATTCCATGCCTGGCTGTAGAGGGAGACAAGGCAGAGATACCTGACAAGCTAGTGCCATCCCAGGGAGGTGAGAACATGGTCCTGTGGGTCTGGGGACACTTAGTAAGATTATGACAGGCAGCAAGCGACATGCTTTGTTAGCCCAGCTACAGCCACACAGTGGTATCTTCTAGACAGATAGGAGAATAGGAAAAAGGGCAATGGCCATTGTAGTGTATCCCTAGCTAATAAGGGACCTATAAAGTAGCAGCGTAAGTTGGTTTCTGGGCCTGATGTTTCACGTCTTTATGCCTTGGTGGTTTGGGTCAAATACAAAGGCTTTATTATTTCCAAGCATCGTATCTTTAAATGTGATCTCACTGCACACAGTCCAAGAGGAAAGCAGGAAGTTGGGCAAAGGAATAAACGACAATGGGAAGTGGACTCATCTTGCGGAAACACTTTAAAGAGAGTGTCGTGCTGGCCCTGTGCAATGAGGAGCAAGCACAGAAGACCAGTGAGGTTTCCGGTTACCCCTCGCGCTTGCAGTGTAAAGGGCAGCACACGCAGCCTGGGAATGCTTCTACCAGTACTAACCACATGGAAGGGAGCAGGAGCTCAGGCCCTCCAGAGCACGCTTCTTTCCACGCTGATGTACTTATCGACTGCCATCGAGTGACTGAAGAAACCTGTGGGCTCAGAAGAATGGATGCGAGCACACACGGCCTGCACACACAATACTGTAGGGTTATTCCTTGTACTTGGGTGTTTCATTTTCTCTTCAGTGCCGGAGCCAGATATAGAGTAGATGTTGCAGAAAGTGTATTGCGTCGTGATGGAGCAAGTACGTGAGGCATTTCATGTGTGCGATTGTGGTGAAAACCCAAGACTCGAAGCAAAGAGTAGATAAGATATTGGCATCCATTAACATGAGTCTGACTATGACAGCAGCTTTTAATCCTGGGACCCCTTTGTAACTTTCTGGGAGAAGGAAGGAGTTTTGTTTTGTTTTTTTTTTTTTTTTAAATATCCGTGCCTGGGTTCCATCTTAGAATAACTGAAGGGGAATCTAAGAGTTGGGCCTAAGTATCCACGGCACTTAAAGCTCTTTAGATGAATCTCATAAGTATGGCAGGCTGGGAGCAATAAATATCCTTGACAGCACGGTCATTCAGACTCTAAATTTTAGAGAGTAGAATAATCAGTTCGCCAATCAAGTCTCTGTGAGAGTCAGAGAACACAACTAAGTGACTTGTCTCTTCCAGTCCATCACACCCTAGAGCTGTCACGTGCATTTGGAGTTAAGCTGCACAGATGTGGGTGGCTCTCCTTAGATCAAATCCAGGGCTGTCATGGGAATTCAGTGTGTTGTTGCCCTGGCTTAGCCAAACTGCCACCTAGAGGATAGGGACAGAGGTTTCATGTCCAGAGGGCCAGACTCAGAAGGTGTGGGGTGGAGTTAAGGAGTCTGCCCTTGGGCCAGGCCTGCTGGGGATTCATTCCATGGCAAGGGCTAATTTAAAAGGGGCTAAACTGTGGCTGGGATGGAGGAAGAGAGAGCAAGTGATGCACGTCCATCAAAAGTCCATCAAAATTACTGGCGGCGGCCGGGGCGGGGGCATCCTGAGGGCACAGCGCCCAGAAGCAGGAGTCAGAGTGCCAGGGTATTGAGAGGGGATAGGTAGAAAATGCTTACTTCAGACACCATTTTCACTTAAGCCCAGAACCAATGTGTACAGGACATTGCTGGGGTGCTGGAGCCAGGTCTCTCAGTGCCCCGAACAGAGCCTGCGGCGGGGTGGGGGCGGGGCACATGGTTAGATAATGAAAGTTTGTAGGAGATGGCACAGCAGGTGGGGATGACAAAAACAGGTCTGGTTCACTCTGTAATTTTGCCCAGGGCTGGGTCCAGTGCCCTGTGAGTAACTGAAGCCAAGCTTAGAGACGCACACAAAAAACCAGAGGGGTTTCCAAATTGCTTCTGTTTTCCCCTTCCCTGGGGCACATCTGTGAGCCCTGAAAGTCCCAGGTGCTACTTGTGTGGCATGAAAACCCTGAGTGAAACCATAGCCGGGCAGCAGAGATGACTCACGCAATGAGGCTGGCAGCGGTTCTCAAAAGCTACCCGGGCTGGCCAATGGCGGGAGCGGGCTGGCCAATGGCGGGAGCGAGCGGGGATCTGTGCACACACAGGCACGCACACACACACACACGAGTCTCCACTGATGTGTTACTCCCCACCCCCTTGGCAGGAGGATAGACTTCAGAGCTCTTAGCTGTCTTCACTCTTTCCTCACACTCTGGGACCCACAGGCCTATTCTGCCATCTTTGGCTGTGTGAACCCATGTGGCTCGTCTCCTGTGACAGTGACGGGCAGTGTGGATCATTCATTTCATTGCTCTGTGCCTCTGCAGTGCACGGCTGCGGAGGGCTGGGATGGAGGGAAGTCAGCGAGCTCTGGTCCAAAGGTTTTGAAGGGAAGTGCCCAGTGATCCTCCGAGGGTTTCTGTACATCAATGGTAAGCCTCGAGGGTGAAGAGAGCGCATTAAGGGCGTGTGCGTGCGTGCGTGCGTGCGTGCGTGCGTGTGTGCGTGCGTGCGTGCGTGTGTGTGTGTGTGTGTGTGTGTGTGTGTGTGTGTGTATGTGTGTGTGTAAGTGGCAGGCTTGCAGTTGCCTTTCTGGATATGGGAGGAGGGCAGAGAAGAGATTGTTTGCTCTGTCATCTACATCTCAAGTAACTATCAGGACTGGCGCGCGTGGTGGTCACACCTGTTCAGGAAACAGTTAACACAGCTTCCCATCATTTAAACGTGAGACAAGCTCACAGCCTGCCCCTCACCTGGACGGCCCAGTGGAGAGCTGTTTTAAAGTCCTTGTCCACGAGGGTGGGGTCTGCCCCCTTCTTCAACAGCATTTGGGTGTGTTGAGGCCGGTTGTGGAAAGCTGCCCAATGGAGTGGTGTCATCCCCTGCAATATAATGACCAGAGGGGACAGAAATGAGCACGGGCTCCTAAGAGGACTCAGGTTCTCATCCCCCTCCCCCAGCCAGCTGGCCATCACCCGAGCACCAACGCAATCCTTCGTTTATTAAACCATTGTTGGAGCCATCGTTGATGATTAACTTTTTGCCAGGTTAACAGGTGTCGGGATTACAAAAGTGAGGATGAGAAACAAAATCCCTGCCCTCATGGGAGTTGGCTGCGGCAAAATAAAGGAAGACAGGCGGTAAATGCACTCGGACGAGCCGTGGGCTTTTCCTGGTTGGCACACAGAGCATAGCCAGAGGAGCAACGCCGGTCTGTACAGGCTTCTGTGAGAAGGAGGGAAGGAGGGACACTAGCACCAAGCCACATAGCTGAGGGTGTGCTCAAGGACAGCATCTGAGACTGCGGTCATGCAGGGATACAACCAATCCCCTGTCAAGTCCTGAACGTTACGTGGCTGCTGACTTCCCAGTCCCTGGAGCTGAGACTGCATGGCTGTGGGGTGACTGTGTGAATGAATGGATGGAGGAGTGAACTAGGGCACAGGAGAAATGAAATTGATCCTGGGAGGCCAGTAGGGCTACTGATCTGCGCAAATCATTTGGATTATTTTCCGCATCAGTGGAAGGGGGTGCTGGAATGATCCGATTTACCCTGCTGAGAGGAAACCCTTTCTTGGCAGCCGGGAGCGGGGAGCTAGATAGGTCTCGCCGATGAACCTCAGCGTCTCTGAGAAAACTGAAGGTGTACAGTTAAGGAATGCCTTCGTGGCAAGTGATTTCCTGCTGGGCAATGGTAGCTCCAAAGGAACAGTAGTATTTGGGAGTAAGCCACAAAAGGTGGCCTCTCCCGGATCACTCCTCTCCTCCACACGGAAACCTCCAACATGACTTAGACCAGGGCACCCACCGAGGCTGCAATGGACTGGAGCAGCCTCCTAGCCTCTCTGTTATTCCTGCAAAGAGCATGGGGGTGGTGGGTAAGAGGCTGTTCTGCTGCAGAGGATGAGCTGGGAGGGGGAGACAGGCCTCGACCTCGCTACCCCGGGTACCCGCTGACCCAGGATTTCGTTTGAGTTCTCACAGCTACTATCTCACTTCTTGGGTAAGGATTGTGGTGAAATCTCTCCCATGCTCCCAAGCTACTTCCTCTCCTCCCAGGACACACAGTCAGACCACAGCCTAAGCTTTCTACTCCAGGTTCAGCCCATTGGAAAGCGAGAAGGGACAAGCACTCCCGGAGGCCTGTCTAGAAAGCAAACCCTTCTCCACAGGTCTTCTCATCCGCCACGGAATGTGGAGGGGGCCAGGGCTGTAGAAGGTGACGGGGCCATGAAACTACAGAGCCCCTAACTGCTGAGGTAAACAGACCCGCCTCTTTAGTCAGCATTTGACCCTGATGTGAACCGAACTCCGTTTTCTTGTGCCAGGAGACTGAGAGTTTTTGAGTTACCACGGCAGCTAGCTAACCCTGATCTATGCCATCATTCTTTTATTTTCTAGAAGAGGAAACAGCCCTAGCAAAGTATTCAATTCTGAGTGAGAACAGACCTCTTTAGCCCAGGGTTTGAGGTCTGTGGGGTGCTGGGCTCAGGATGCTAAATCCCCCCAACCAGTTTTGTAGTTTGAGTCTGTAATTTATGGCATGCTGGCGGGGTTTCAAGTTCCCAGTGTCCTCTAAGGCTAACCCTCTAGAGCTGTTCTTGGGGCTAGTTAACAGATTGATTCCACATGGAAAAGAGTACTGGACTAAAGACTGGGTGTTGCCTACTTGCTGCGTTTTCTTGGAATACAGTCACTGCATGAGTTTCTATGGATCTTCATTTTTCACTAGGCCACTGGGATTGGAAATCCAAACACAAGGGAGCCGGATTCTTTTTCTTTTATTTCACATTGATTAGTCTTTTTCAAGTTGTGAGATCCCATCTTAACCATTGGGTTCATGATAGCTGCTCTCGTCTGCCTGTCTCAATGCCAAGAGCTTTGGACAGTGAGCGCATTGTAGAGGCTAAGGAAATACCACTCATTAATTAAGCCAGTGAATGAATCCCCACAGTTCCTGACTGCATTGCTTGATTTTGTAAAATCTGGCTTTGCTTTTTTATCATTTTTTAATTTGTGTATGTGTGGTATATGTGTGTGTATGTTCATGCATGTGCTCGCGTGGGCGTGTGGGTGAAAAAGTGTGTCATTGTGAGTATGTGTATATGTAGAAGCCAGAAGTTGACGACCAGGGTCTTCCTGATTTTTGAAACAATTGGAGCTCACTGAATGGGCTAGGCTATGCATACTGGCAGCTGAGCGCCAGGGACCCACTCTAGCTTTCCTAGTGCTAGAATTATGGGTACACATTGTGCCCATCCTTTTATGTGGGCCTGGGCATCCAAACTTGGGTCTGTCCTCATGATGGAGGAGGATTTTGTTGACAGAGCCACTTCCCCAGCTTTACACACTTAAAAGAGAAGAAGTAAAATGAATTCTCCATACAAGGTAACCTTTTCAATGATCACTGTAACCAACTTATCAACCCACTCTTCAGAATTTGGGGGGGAGCGTTCCAGAAGACCTCATTGTGTACTGCTTTCCAGCTGAGGAGGCAGCTCAGCTTGTAAAGCACTTGGCTCAAAAGCAAGAGAAGCTGAACCCAGATCCCCAGCAGCCCTGTTAAAAGGCCAGGCCTAGCAGCGCACATCTGTAACGCCAATGCTGGGGATATGGAGGTGGGAAGTTCCCAGGGGCTGGCTGGCTAGTCAGTGTAGCTGAAACGGTGAGCCTCAGGTTCAGGGAGAGAACCTGTCTCAAAAAGTAAGGCGGAGAGCAACTGAGAAAGACAGCCGACATTGACGTCTTAACACACACAAAAGCACAAATGTATACAACACGCAAGGGAAAACATGCAATGGGCAGCAATGATTATGTAGAACGGATGACTTAAGAATGCAAGAACTCATTGTGAAAACGTGGTTGTAAATTAAACTGTGATTATTGTGTCCTGCAGAAATAAAATGTCACCAAGTGTGTATATGAGGTTGGGGGGCCGCGCCCAGCTTGTAGAACTCAGGTTGCTGGGCTTGCTGGCAACCGTCTCTTCCTGTTTAGCTATCCAGTAGCCCCCACACATACCTTTGTGACCTTTTTGGCACTAAGAAGTCTGTGTGCATTGTCTTATTGGAGTTTACAGTGATCCCAAGGGTAGGAGTTTTAGAATCACTTTTGGAGCGAGGAAGTTGAAGCAGACAGGTCAACCAACTTGCCTAAAGCCAGTGGCTCAGGGCTTGGTAAGGCTGGAATTCAGATTCACATGTCTGTGGTTCCAAAGAAAAATGATCTTCATTATGTTGGTAGACACCATGTTTGGAAAGAAGTTCAGGTGCTGGAAATTCTGTTTTTGTGTGTGTCAGACATCTTACTGATTCAAGTCTTGCCACTTTATGCAGTGGTGTTATCACGAGAGTACAGGGTGCCATCCTATAGTATTGGCTACGCTATTTGTCTCTAGGTTCCTCCTAAAAGAATAACTAGCGGACCTTTAGAAACTACTCCTTTCTCGTTGCTATGTTTCTGTGTAGAGTTTCTCTGTGTAGCCCTGGCTGTCCTAGAACTCTTCATGTAGATCAGACTGGCCTTGAACTTAGAGAGCCTCCTGCCTTTATCCCTTGAGTGTTGGGATTAAGGCCTGCCACCACCGCGGCTGCCTAGAAATGACTCTTTGTGGCTATCTACTACGACTTGATTAAACTTCCCTGAGTACTATTACAATGTAAAGAATTTGTAAACTTTCAGTCAAGAGAAATTTCCTGTTGCTGTTTTTTCCCCTTGCTGAGCTAATGAGAAATAAAAATAAATCCTTGTAGCATGAGTACTCTGAAAGCCAAAGCTTTCAAAAGTTCATGGGTAACCAACCATTGGTATTGTGCAACTCTTCATTGAGGAACGCTTCCCTACAATGTTTCCTCTTTTCTTCAGATCCTGTGGAGCCTGCAGACAGTCAAGCTGTGTATGGTGAAGGCTTGGCTTCAGGCTTGGAAGCCGATACCACAGCAGAGTGTCACAGGTAAATGGAGATGCTGTCTACTGCACCGAGCACACGGCAAGTGTCTGAGACATGTTCTCTAGAAGTAGTGAGTTTCAGGTTATGAAGGATCTGTTGGACATGGGGAGTATGGAACCCATTGGACATGAGATAGCCTTCCCTCATCTGCTTTTCCCACCATCTGTCTCCTTGGCTCCACTGAGGATTTACTTAGACCCTGGAAACATTCAGGAGGTAAAAACTCAAGAAATCACAGATATGGTGCAAATAAGTGCCCAGATGGCCTTGGTGGCTGCAGGACTCCATTTTAAAATGAAATATAAACCAGCGTTGGTTCAATGACTGGAGAATAATTCACATTCAGTTAGGAACGTCTTCAGAACGTGTTCCTTTGACTCAGGACGTGTCCTGACTGTTGCAGGAGTCTGCACACCATAGCTGGTGGGCTGTTGTGAAATGGCACTCATTTGCAGATGAGTAATCCTGTGCCTTGAGCCTGTGCTGTGCAGTTTCAGTCCGGCGTAGCTGACAGGTTCTACAAGAATCTTAGGTCTCCCTCTGACAGCCGTTGCTAACTTTGGGTGTGTGTTGGGGGGTGGGGGAATGGGTTAGTTTTGTTTTCTGAACCAGAAATCTGACTCATGTGAAGCAATTTTACCATTGCTACTTAACAATGAAGGACAGAGAACAATGTCGTGGTCACATGCAGGGCCTGGCTTGTCTAGGTATGCAGAGGACAGAACAAAAGCAGCGTCTGAGAGTTCAGAAAAACAGCTCCACATCTTGAAGGGTCTAGAACTGCCAAGAAGCTTAGTCTCTTCCTGGCTGACATTTCAAAACTGACATAAGAAAATAAGGACATGACTGTTTGTAGGCATGGGCTGATATGAGGGAGAATTCAGCTAGAGGCATCTGGAAAGGCCAGACTGAGCATGGCCAGCAGATGAACCG